ATTGTACAGTGAGAACCTGTAATAAGCTATATAAATCACTTTTCCACAATTGTACAGAGAGAACCTGTAATAAGCTATATAAATCACTTTTCCACAATTGTACAGTGAGAACCTGTAATAAGCTATATAAATCACTTTTCCACTATTGTACAGTGAGAACCTGTAATAAGCTATATAAATAACTTTTCCACTATTGTACAGTGAGAACCTGTAGTAAGCTATATATAAATCACTTTTTAAAGTAAAATAGGTCTGTTTGTATAACTGCACAAATGTTGTCTTTCCTGTACAATGAATTTTCAAAGTCTTAATTTGGGTCTAGTTTTTCTGGGGTTCACTGTATAAAGACTAATAGCTGAAGGGCCCGGCGTTGCCCATGGAATATATTTTTTTTAATTTAAAAAAATTCTTTAAACATTTCGAATTTTTTTAGCCTAAAACACCCCCCGGCCACCCCTGAGTGTCCACACAAAATTTCAGCCCGATCGGTCCAGCCGTTTGGCCGGCTATAGACAACATATATATATATATACATATACATATATATACAAATGTATAAAAATGTACAAACATAGATAACTTGTGTATATAATTACATTTCTTTTATCTGCATAATAGATTAATGTATCTTCATTTTTAAAAATAAATTTTTTGTTGTTGTTTAGACTGTGAGTATTAGGTCGTTGCAATCCACAAACATAGAAGACAGTACAGTTATATTTGCTAACGTACATACATCTTTCGGATATGGTGTACAGGTAGGGATGTTAACGTTTTCATTTTTTTTTTAAAACGATCATTTCGTTATGAAAACGACGACGAAAAATCAAAAACGAAACGATCGTTTTTTCAAAAAGTTAGTTTTTTTAAAATGGTCGTTTTACAAAACGATCGTTTTTATAAAAATCCACGTTTCGCTAACGATTGTTAACGACGACCCTTCGTTAACGATCGTTAACTAAGAGAGGAAACCGATCTGAAGGGCATTTGTACTTATCATTGAGTAGTTTTTAAAAAAAAATATCAAGAAGTTTTAGGTCCCCCGCGACGACATTCAATAAAGTTACATGTATTTTTTTTCTTCAAAAACGATATTTTTTTCCGAAAACGACCGTTTTTATTAAGTTCGTCGTTTTGTTTCCGATCGTTAACATAATTGTCAATAATTATTTTTAAAAAACGAGTGTGTCGTTTTTATAAACAATCGTTTTTTTTCAAAAACGAAACGATCGTTTGAAAACGATTAAAAAACGAAACAAAAAACGATCGTCATATAATTAACGACATCTTATAGACAGGACATTTTATAGACATTAAATTACATAGAATATATATAAAATATCCTAATCTTGAATTTTCATATTTAAGAACTTTAATTATATCTATCTACAAAAATTTATTTCTTTGAAATGTCCTCTTTAAAAATAGTTCGATATGATTTTTACTAATAAATCTATTATTAACGTAAAACATAATTTATCTTGAAGTACTGTTTATTTATTTATTTTTATCCCAGGAGACACTGTACGATGCTATCCATCCTACTAGAACCACAGTTCAGGCAGGAATTATTATGATAGATGTTCTTTCATATATTCTATATAATTTGCAAAGAGAATAGAATATATATTAGAGTGGAATTTAGACTATCCCTCGGTATGAATTTTTTCAGTCCCTTTCAGCCTGAAAGGGACTTCAAAGTGTACAAATCATGTTCACAAATTATATGCAGTAGATTACATTAATACAGTATGTTCCCTAGACTATCCATTTCAATTTCGAATTTTTTAAAACTGTTAAATAAACTTTAAAAAATGAATTAGGTGAATAAAAAACATCATTTGATTTATAGTTATAACGGGAAAATCATCTTTTGTAAAGTGAAAGGCATAGAGTCTATTTGAAATGATCATTGGTCAATTATAAAACCAGCCTATTTCATAATTTGGTTTTCTTTTAATATTAATTTTAGATTTTCTATAAAATGATGTTCCAGGGCCCAAAAGGTTATATAGCATAAATATGTGAAGTACACCTGCAGTATGGAAACAGTACAACAAAATGGCCGTTTTACATATTTTTCTAGTAAATTCCACTCTAATCGTTGATAATTTGTCTACAAATTTCTATGATGTTTCTATTTTGTCTATCTTTAAAACATTTCTTTAAACTTTCTTAGCCATTAATTATTAACTTTTTGTAATTTTCTTTCTATTTTCTGAAATTAAAATTTCCTTTTCTACGTATTTTAAACATTTCTGTTCAAACATTTTTGTGGAGGAAATTTTCTATTCTTTCTATTCTTTGGAGAGCATTAATCTTTAGCTTTTGTATTTAGCTAATTCTTTTCAAAATATAATTTTTCTCTTTTTTCTGCCAACCCACTATAATGATCGTAAACATTACTTCTTTAGATGAAAAGTTTTCTCCGTGGATATGTTATGGTTTAACTTACTCTCTTGTCTTATCTGTATAATCTCTAATAAGCTAAATATTTTGTCATATCTGTATAATCTCTGATTAGCTAACTCTCTTGTCCTATCGGTATAATCTCTGATAAGCCAACTTACTAGTCCTATCTGCATAGTCTCTGATTAGCTATTTCACTATAGTCCTATCTGTTTAATCTCTGATTAGCTAGCTCTCTTGTCCTGTCCGTATAATCTCTGATTAGCTAACTCTCTTGTCCTATCGGTATAATCTCTAATAAGCCAACTCACTAGTCCTATCTGTTTAATCTCTGATTAACTAATTCACTAGTCCTATTTGTAAAATCTCCGATAAGCTGATTTTCTTGTCCTATCTGTAAAATTTCTAATTAGCTAATTCTTTTGTCCTGTCTGTCTAATTTAACTCTCTTGTCCTATCTGTGTAATCTCTGATTATCCAACTCACTACTATTCCTATCTGTATAATCTCTGAATTCAGGTTTCAGACACCGGGTTTAATAGAGGACCGAGGCAAACAAAATTATAATTATTTTATTGATTTAAAAACTTTTAATTTTTATGATTTCAATTTCAATTTCATTTTGATGACAATTAAAATGTGATTAATGTTGATATAGTTTCAATTATTTTTATTTATTTTCTAATATCTTATTATTATTATGAGAATCATTTTATGATCATCATTAATATCATGATTATTTTATCATTTTGTTACAATTTTTATTTTTGAAATTATTTTATCATTTTGCATTTTTTTGTTGTTAAAGGAACACGGAAAATACACTCGAGTATTCAACTATATACAATGTACAGACTGTTACCGTCAGGTAAACATGTTTTAAGGGTCTGTTCCTCTATTTGATGATAGATATACTATCCCAATATATTGATCTTACCTCTTTATAAAGACTGTAAGCGTAGTTTCCAGTGGTCCTCCATGCATGCAGATTGCAGATGGACAATGCTTGATTTACAATGGTACCCTTGAAACCTTAATCTGATCAAAAATGTGAATAATACCCTCTTTGACGCAAAAATATTTCTGTGAGTTTCTCCATTGTTTCTTTTAAGCAAGAAATGCGCGCGTTATCCACTTTTGAAGAAAACTCACAAAATACAATAAACAGTTATAAGAAACAAACAAATTGATATATTTAATTCATCTTTGATCACACAAAGCTTTCAATGGTACCTTTGCAAATTGGGCATTGTCATATATTCTGTTCTTACACTTTTTATTTAATCGTGGAAAGCATGTCAAATAATGGACAAAATGTTGTCTTCCATATTATATTTGACACTTGTGACGTCATGTATAATTGTTCCATTTCTCTGTTGCCACCTATTGTATTTGGTTATCTATTTGATTTTACGCCCGTTTCCGAAACCAAGATCTCCCCCTTCACATAAATATTAGATAAGCTGTGGAAAGCTGCAGGCAGTATGTCCCAAGGGAGTGTTCACTATTTTCTTTTAGAAATGTTGATGTACAGGCCAGTCTGACTCCGGATATTTCTAATATTGGATCTCTTCTTCAAAATGTGCTTCTAGGTAAAAACAATTTTACAAAATATGATTTAAAAAGTCGTCTTTTCTCCATCATTTTTCTTTTTGTGACATATGGGGGGAGTGTTAATTTTCATATACATTTTAAAATTACAATTTTATTTGTTTAACGTTTAATAATGATTGTTGTTTAATCTTAATTGACCCTCCCAAATCACAAGGATAGAGCAAAAATTACGTAGATATCTTTGAGATTTATGCAGCTGAGACAAGGAAGAAAATTCTCAGAATTAACCTCTGATTCAAAAAACAAAAACGACAATATCTCAAACAAGTGTTTAAAGAGTACGCAGCTTTTAAAGGAGGGGGGGGGGTGGTCACTCTTGATTAAACAGCCCCTTTATCGTTGTTAATTGCACCATGTTGCAACGGTAGATGAACATGTTTTTATTGTGATGAAATGCCTCTACACTCTTTTATTATAACGTGTAAGTGCGAACGTCTAGCTGCACACCTTGCATCTTGAGGGAGGGGGTGCAGGGCCGCCATGAGCCCCGCTAAATGATCTCCAAGCCTCCGTATTCGCAGATGAGTATTTAAAATGACATGGCGCGGCACCTAAACGTGAGAATAGATATTATTGAAGTAATAAATAATATTTTTAAAGAAAATTTTAATCAATGAATAGTTATGCAGTGTTTTCTTGGGTATAAAAAAACATTGCATAACTATTCAAATATCAAATATTTTTTCTAACATTTTTATACATTACTAGTTACTTCTATAATATCTATTCTAGGGCCATGTCATTTTAGATACTTATATGCAAATCCATAGGCTTGGAGACCATTTTGCGGGGCTCTGGGCGTCTCTGCACCCCCTCCCTTGCATCATGCATTACATCAGTTTTAATCGTGGCACACCAATCTTGATATAAGGAAGAAGTGTATCTTATACAGAACTAGATTGGGAACCCAGTTTAGTCCAGAGTTTTCCTTACAAAAGTCAACCCCCTGAAATTAAAATTTTTAGAGAAACAGAGCTTACTATTTATATATATATAGATATACATTTTGTTCAAAGAATTTTGACTTCGGAGGATTATGTAAAATATAATTCTTTTTTAATAAAATGTGAAGTTTAAAAACTGAAATAGATTATATTTACATATATATATACATATACAGATTATATTATATATACAGATTATATTATATATACAGATTATAGACGCGGACGCCAACGAGTAGAATACAGCTCTACCCACATCTTTAGTTTTTATTTTACAAGAAATCTTCATAAAAGGATTCATTCATCACCATTTTTTATTAACGTTTTTCGATTGCTTTCAAACTATAAAAAAAAATGGGGGGGGGGGGCATTTAATTCAAAATTTAACAGTTTTGCGTGTCACCTTTTTCTAATATTTGTTTAGCTGTAGGACTACACCCCCATCACATCGGATTTATATATCACCGTTTAAAGCTATGGCTTGAAATACCGAATTAATTGCAAAATTGAAACTAAACATAAAAATTCTATCATTTTTGAAACAGAATTAATTTAACTTTCGGATTTTGAAATTTCAGAAATGTCTCTATTTTACGTAGCTCATTCCTAAAGCTTCACCATCAGACCGGGGCGAGCAATTCTAGATTTAGCCCGCTATGAAATGTTGCATCAACTTACAAGACAGAATCCGCTTTGAAGTGTCGCAAAGCCTTGGTTTTGATTTACAGCTCTAACTTACTCATGCTTTTCTATAGCTCAAGACATGTGCATTTTAGAACTGTAAAGCACTTGTTTTTTGCTTTAGTCTTTGACAGGTAATAGGCGTGAACCTAATTGATTTTTGCGTGAGATCTTGAAACCTTATAATCACAGTGAGCAAAGACTTAATTCTTTGTCTTAAATTTAACGTAATCTTTCAGGTATCCTTGGGAACAATCTTCTCCCTGGACTAGGTGGACTAGGTGGATCCCAGAATGGACTTGTTGGACCTCAAATACCTGGACCTCCACACACTAAACTCATCACGCACACCAGGGACTAATATTTTTCTTTAAATGGATTGCGAGCTAATAGCTCCGTGTAAAGAGGGCAATGTCAAATGTCGTCTTGACAATTTTTCAATGAGTTTTATTCTATATTACGTAAATTTCAGTGTTTGCGAAAATAAATAAATATCCATGAATATGAGGGAACAGTTTTAAAGAGTTCCATATAATCATTTACTTAAAAAACTAAATATCTGCAACATTCCATTATCAGAAAGTGAAGAATACGACATTTGATGAATTCTTTCGATGTATTCGTTATTAATGGTTTCACTGTAGATGATCTAAATCTAACTATGCAAAAAAAGCAATGTGTCATTTTGAAATGGTAAAAATTCTGATCATTCCATCAGCTAAAAAAGTGAAATCTACATTTTCTTGACTTATCTTTAAACTTTAGTAAAGTAGCATGCAAGATTTTAATTTATAATTCAAGCTAGATTATCTTGAAACTAAATATTTAAATAATGTATAATATCTAGCAGTTATCTCAGAATTTAGATTTACTCTACAGATTTACATATTTAGATTTACACTACAGATTTACATATTTAGTATTCACACTACAGATTTACATATTTAGATTTACACTACAGATTTACATATTTAGATTTACTCTACAGATTTACATATTTAGATTTACTCTACAGATTTACATATTTAGATTTACACTACAGATTTACATATTTAGATTTACTTTACAGATTTACATATTTAGATTTACTCTACAGATTTACATATTTAGTATTCACACTACAGATTTACATATTTATATTTACTCTACAGATTTACATATTTAGTATTTACTCTACAGATTTATATATTTAGATTTACTCTACAGATTTACATATTTAGTATTCACACTACAGATTTACATATTTAGATTTACACTACAGATTTACATATTTAGATTTACTCTACAGATTTACTTATTTAGTATTTACTCTACAGATTTACATATTTAGTATTTACTCTACAGATTTACTTATTTTGATTTCCTCTACAGATTTACTTATTTAGTGTTTACGTAGTTTTCTAATTTCTTAAAGATCAACACCAGAACCATTCTCATCCTTAGTGACATTAGTAAACATTAAAAAAAAATTGAACTCAAATGTCTATGTGAAAAGTAACGTTCAAGATTATTTAAAAATTGAAACATTTTTTCTTTGTTCTTTTATTATCTATTTATGTCATTGTAATGGGTAGTCTTAAGTGCGAAAAGTTTTTGCCGGTATTTTATTTTTTCTAGTTTGTTTAAAATCAAAAAAGTGAAAATACTTTTATTTTGATCGATGAGTTTATTTAGATAAAATCATCCAGTCTTACCATGAAAAAAATGTTTTGGCTTAGTTCCCAAACCTTGGAATTTTCTAAAAAGTAATTTATAAATATATGTTTTTTAAATTCAAAAAGTCTAAAAACTCAGTGCTGAGAATTTTATACAAATTTTGAAATGATTTTGGAAATCTAGGAAAAAAAACATATGAAACAATTTTGTAATTTTTTAGATCATTTGTTAGCACAACAACTTCAGTAGACTCTCTTCTAGTCCCGGTTACATTCCAGGGGTCTCAGGTCTTCAGAACTGTATTCGATACAAAAACACAGGTTTGTCTTTTATAGTTAAAGGGACTGTGATTTCAAATCACTCCTCATCAAATAGATTATAGTTCAATAGATGGGAACAGAGAAATGGACCAATTGTACACGATGTCACAAGTATCAAATATAACAAGGAAAAGGGAAATTTTCTCACATAAGTACGTTGACATGTTTTCTAATAATAAATATTAAAAAATGAAAAAAAACAGAAAATAAAAAACACATCAAATTGCACTTGCTTTACTGTAAGATCTAAAATTATCACTATTATTAATAATTTTGTCGGACACAAAAACTGAACGGACACTTGTGACGTCAGAATACAGCTTTAATGAGAATGTACACATTCTTCGTTACCATCTATTGTACTAGATTCTAGTTGCTTCTCATGTAATTCTAGTGCGGAGACTCTGATGTACACCGGTACTCGGTACTTACAACCTTTATCCCATCAAAAATAGAGATATCCACTTGTGGTTTCTATTTAGTGACTTGCACATTTCTAGTTTGGAAAACAAATATTTTCCAGCTAGAATTATCTTCCACATTGTTGAGCAGACTAAGGTTTAAAGCCTGTAATGATACTGTTGTGAATCAGACATATCCATCTGTTTCTTTCAATGGAAGACCACATGAAATTAAAACAGTAAAACAAATTTAAATCTAAAAACAACGAATCTATTAAAAAAGTCACAAGAAAAAAAGTTTCTGAAAAGTCTCAAAATGGTACGACTTTATTTTTATTTCAAGGACTTATTTTCCTCAGAAGTATTTTAGTGCCAAAATTTAGGACTTTTTTCTGAAAACTTTTCTTGCCGGTTATCAAAATAACGGGAAGCATCTTTTTTTTAAAAAAAGTTTCATAAAAGATTGTTAACTTTTTTTACGTCTAGTTTGAGAAGCAATCGTTTAGCAACAGCTATGATAATTTGGAAACAATCCCGTTAATATGTTTCTTGTTTAGATGTACACCGGAAGTGAATTGAGCGTGGAAACTATTGTAGAACCAGGATTAGGAAATTAAAAGGATGCGTGTAAAGTACTGACTTTCATCTTTCATTTGCGCAGCAGTTATGGTCAATTAACTAATATTAATATTCCATGTAAAAACAATTATAAATTGAAACTCTTTATTATGCAATTTCAAAATTGCGACGTCCAAAATTGATGGAGATCATTTGCAATTATTTCAAATATTTATTCTTTGGATAAAATGAATATTATCTATAAAGTTTTTACCAATTTTTAAGAAGCAAATGAGCAAATGAGGCCCAAAAAGTAGCAAATGAGGCCCAAAAAGTAGCAAATGAGGCCCAAAAAGAAACATTTTTGAAAGATAATTAGATTTGTAAATTTTATTAATTGTTGTCTATTTTTGTCAATGTCTTGTCGAATTTTGTCGTTTTTTTTATAATCGATTTTACACATAAAAAGGATATTTTTCTCAAAAACGTGTGCACTGTCCTATTATAATTAGAAAATCTTTTAATGAATTCATTTATTGAATGATTTTATTCTATTGATAAAAACTGTTTTATGTTTTTAATAGGCTTTATTAAACTTTAAAATAGATTTTTCATTCACGATTTCATTTTTTCTTGTTAATTACTTTTTATTAGCATCAATGGAATTAAAATAATATAAAAACTTTACAGGATTTAATTTCTTTCAATCCTCTTACTACCTTTATTGGAATTTATTCAAAGTTTTTAATTTGAAATTTCTTGTTAAGTGGGAGAGATATACTAGTAAATTATATTATCGCCAAGAAAAAGCAAAAGCAAAAATAGTTTTAAAAATACGTTTTATGGAAAATTTTTTACCATTTTTAAAACGTTTCTTTCATTTGAATATTTTCTATACTTAAAACTAATGACAAATTTTATTGATTTGATAAATAACAATTTAGTATATTTACTGTAAAACGTTGCGCTGATTTTTTGGCGCAGAAGATGAACAAATTGTTATTTACGATATTAATCGATAAGGAAAGTCATAGCTTATCAGAATCGGATAAAAGTTATTTAATTATGTTCAAATTAAATTGGTTTTTTGGTACTAAGACCCCCCCTCCCCCCGTAAGATAATAAAATTTAGTACAAGATTAAACGAACTGAGCTGAAAACTTTAGAATGAGATATCCTTAATCCTGTGTCCGAATTTATTGAATTTAAGCCACGTCTTAAATTCCCCAAAAACCGGTTTTAATTGACCGCCGGCTTAAATCTTGAAAAATTTAATACAAATTTAAGTGGAACCAACCATATTTGAGCCGCAGCTTAAATTTAAACCGCGGCTTGAATTCTTTAAATTTGGCCTCTGATCGATTAATCTGATTATCCAATGTACACACTTTTGATTTTCTTTTTAATCCTCTTTTTGGATATTCCTACTGTATAAAAGTTACGTTATAATAATTACAGATACAATGCTATATCGATTGGACTAATATCCGATTGAATTAAAGTCAGCTGTTCACGATATTTAGAACATTTAAACAAATATAAACCTAATCATGTTAACATGAAATTATTAACAACATATTTTAGGACTACTGTCATTTTGAACGTTAGTCTTAATAAACATTAATCCAAAACTTACGTTCGTTAAATTGTTGTTTAGTTTAACTGATATGACACCATCAACACCAGAAATCAAAACCGGTTTTTAATAGTTAAAGAGTACATCTTAACATTAATGACACGCTGATTGGTTAAATTTTTAACTTCTTTAAAATAATCTTGGGTTTAGTAAAACCAGTGTCTGAATTTAATGAATTTGAGCCGCGTCAAAAATCCACTAAAAACCGGTTTCAATTAAACGCCGGTTTAAATCTTGAAACATTGAATACAATTTTAAATGGAACCAAACATATTTAAGCCGTGACTTAAATTTAAGCCACGGCTCAAATTCTTTAAGTTCGGACTCAGGAGACTAAGCATTAATCTTGATATCCACCATTCTAGAGTTTTCAGCTCTGTTTAAGTGACCCTCCTCTGGTGTAAACATGGTAATGCCAGATTCACAATTGTACCCTTGAAACCCTCATCCAATCAATAATGTTGTTTTTCTCTGTTTAATTCTGAAACTTCTATACGTTTTCCTGCAGTAGAAATGCGCAAGTCACTTTTGTTGCGAAACAAATAATGCGTTTTAAAATTATAAACTTTGGTATCATAGTATTAAACCTAGCTTTTATGAGTACCGTAGTGAATCGGGCATCGACATCTTTGCAGGAGGGTCACTTGAAATAATGGTTACAGTCCCTTTAATAAATCATTTTTTCTTTGGTTGGAATGATTTTATAAATAATGAATCCATGAACTGAGAGCGCGGGGAAGGGTGGGTTTATTTCTTTTATGTATTTTATAATTATTAATATACATATATT